AGACAGCCCAACAATCCAGCTAACTATAAATCTGCCTTAGGTGCAAAATGCATTGCCTTCGCCTCACACAGAGCAAGAGAGTTTCCAAATGGACTGTTGGTGAACTTTTGGGAGATCTTATGTGCAGGTAGTGGTTATTGTGTGGTGCGATTCCATTACAATCATAAACCCGTTTCCCCGTCCTCCCCCCCAATTAAAGCCAAGAGACATAAGTGTGGTATAAAAACAGGCCACAGCTTTATTTATAAATAACAAGCATAAATATATAAACCAATATTTTAACTTGAAACTCGTCCTTGCCAACCGAACCATAACAACTCTAGAGTACCCCATTCCAGGGTACCTGCCCTCCCCCCTCGTCCAAGATAACTGGCCTTCACCTTGGCCTTCCCGCCATACCCGCCAGCTGTGACAAGAAAGAAAGTTAGAGATATACAATAAGACAACCATCAAGGGTGGGAGGGAGGGAAGATGTTACCAGCCGTTATTTCTAATTTGGCTGAGGTAAGGGAACAAAATGACTGCTCTTTATATGACCCCACCCTGACCCCAACCTAAGCGACACCCCCCCAACTTGTGACACCTACACCCACCACACCCACACATGCCTCCTATCCGGCTAGCTTTCAGCCCGCCTCCTCTGGGCCTTGTGTGCAGGTAGTGGTTATTGTGTGGTGCGATTCCATTACAATCATAAACCCATTTCTCCGTCCTCCCCCCCAATTAAAGCCAAGAGACATAAGTGTGGTATAAAAACAGGCCACAGCTTTATTTATAAATAACAAGCATATAAACCAATATTTTAACTTGAAACTTCCAGGGTACCTGCCCTCCCCCCTCGTCCAAGATAACTGGCCTTCACCTTGGCCTTCCAATTCCCCATGCCACCCCCTGGCCGCCTTTTACTGGCACGGGGGGCACGCCCAATTACCAAAACCTTTCCGAGGTTAGGGGAGGGACCAGACCCAGCATTCCTTCTTCCAGTGTACTCGGTTTTCCAACTGGTTCGGCAAGGACCATACCCGCCACTAGCACCTGCTGCATTTAAGCCTAAATCAGCGGGCGCGACTCCCAACCAACGCCATGGCCTGCTCTAACGCATCCTGCAGCGCTAAATTAAATAAATCTAAACCCACATCCGTTAGATGTACCCCGTCCGGGCGAAAATAGATCGCCGCTTCCTGTTCGAATATTCGGTGTCGCACCGTGACACCCCCGACCCCGAGTACAAATTTGGACACCCTCTTGTTGATTTTTACCCTGCAGCGCTCAATCGCCCCCTGATCCTGCGCGCGCGCCAGTAGTTCCTAGACACCATCCCTGACCAAACTAAGCAAAGCTGCGGGAACAGGACTAGCAAGCGCGCCAAATCCCGTCTAATCAGCTCTCCAAGCCCCCACGCAGGCAGCGCTCCAAGATCATTTCCCCCCAGATGTATCACTAATACATCAGGGGCCCCCAAGAATGTAGCCAACTGTACCACCTCCGGCAAGAGCTGGCCCCAGCGCATGCCCCCGGGGTATTCCAAGATGCATCCCGCCCGGGCGTACCCCTGCCCGCAGGTGGGCCCAGTAGATGTGTGAATGCCCAATCAGCCAGATCCGTCGGCCGGACCCTGCAGAGAAAACACAAGGGGGGTACCCATCAGACGCGTAGGCCTTATATAAGAACGAAACCTCCCAGATTCCCACCTTCCAATCCTCTGAATCGCTTGATCAGAGAAACCTATCCGAGATGCTTCTGTAGCTGCCCCAATCTGGAAAGAATGACCCCCAAATTCCTCACTCGGGATTCCCAACCTGTCGAGCGCCAACCGGAATACCCTGAGGAATTGAAAACGAGACAGGTAGGCACAATCTGTCACGTATTCATCCGCTTATAGAAATGTGGTTAATGACATTTACTGTCCACACAGGAAAAGTTGTGCCGAGCAGCAACCTAACCCACAGAAGGTTTAATGCTGAGCAGCAATTATGCAAATGAAACCTGGTAACTGACTTTGGGGTCAAAGGCCGGTTACAGCCTATTAGAACTAAAGGAGGGGTATTTAGGCCCAGCCTGCTCAGTGCCCTGTCGTGGTTTCCCTTGTGGTTGTCCGAGAGCGCGTTCCTGTTTATAGTTTTCTAGAGGGGCAGTAGAAGTAGTGACAGGTGCAGGCCCAGGGGAGGCAGAGAGGGAAGGGAGAGCAGGAGGGGGGCTGCTATGAGGGTTAGGCGATCCAGACTCCCTACCACGGCCCCCTGAACCCCCCCCACCCGGAAACAACCCTGCCGACCTGCGGCCTACTCACCCGACCAGAAGAGGGGGTTAACAACCCACGGACCGCCGGAGCCCCTGCCCGCGCTGATCGGGTAGTTGGTGCCCTCCTGCCCAATGGTCTCGTGGCCGCCCTCCTCAGAGTCCGCGAGACCGGAGGGGATGGAATGTTGGAGGCAGCGTGGCCCGCATCCGTCCGCCGCGTGGCCACCTGCCGGCCTCCCCGAGCCCCGCTCGGGGAGGAGGTAGGAGCACAGGAAACTTCGCCGGCCACGGCCGCATGGGACCTGGCACGCGGACTGGCCACAGGGCTCCTCCGAGCCCGTGAGACCGTATGGGATGTGATGTTGGAGGCAGCGTGGCCCGCATCCGTCCGCCGCATGGCCACCTGCCGGCCTCCCCGAGCACGGGAAACTTCGCCGGCCGCGGCTGCATGGGACCTGGCACGCGGACCGGCCACAGGGCTCCTGCTCCTGCCCCTCACCTGCGAGGGGCTATAACGGGTGGGGGGACGTGCACGACGTCGCTGAGCGCTGTGGCTGGTGTAAGAGGGAGCAGCCACAACAGCAGCACCCTGCAGCCGTGTCAGCTGGGACTGCAGGTGCTGGCCACCATCTTGAAGGGCCTCAGCCCGAAGGGCAGACAATATGGACTCAATATCCATAACCCTGGCCGTGAGACAAGCAGTGGTAACAGGCAGCAAGGAGAAGATGTTACCAGCCATTATTTCTAAGATGGCTGAGGTAAGGGAACAAAATGACTGCTCTTTATATGACCCCACCCTGACCCCAACCTAAGCGACACCCCCCCAACTTGTAACACCTACACCCACCACACCCACACATGCCTCTTATCCGGCTAGCTTTCAGCCCGCCTCCTCTGGGCCTGAGCCATCGTAAACTTCTCTAATGATGGATCCACTGCCAACTGCTGACATACATGTCTTACAAACCTCTCCTAGGATATTTGTTGTGACAGATCTTCTGTACTCTGACAGAGTACCTCCGCCCAGTCTGATTCCGAGCCGCTTGGAACGCTTGCGCCCCAGTCACAGGAACTCTTTCACCCGACCAGGCTGCAGCTCTCCTTCCAGGCAGGTATCGTCCCCTCTGCCCATCCCACTGCAGCTCTCTCTTTCCAGGCAGGTATCAACCCCTCTGCCTATGCCGCTGCAGCTCTTCTTCCAAGCAATTCTGGCTCTCAGGCCTAACTCTTTTGATTTATCTCAGAGCTAGAGAGATCCTGCAGCCAGCAAACAGATCACTGAGATCTCTAAAAGGAACATGCACTACTTTATTTTATTTGGGACTAGCTCATATGATCATTACATTTAGATTGCTGTGTCAAACAAAATAAAATTACAATAATCAAAACATGTCACAGGAAATTATAATAGCATAATAACATTATGATAGAGGGGTGGGGAAGACAATAACTAGCACAAAATATCTCTCCTGCCTGCAGAATTTACAATATGCAAATCTACCTGAATATGCAAATTAACAAGCCTTGCTACTCAGTGCATATTGATGTTGCTACCAACAGGTGGTGTGGTACAGGCTCCACAGCCGAATCCACCTTCTTGGTCGCAAGCATCAGCAGGACAGGAGAGCACACAAAACATATACCAATTTATATCATGCTAACATATGCAGCACTTTACAATTATAGAAAAGAGATATTTCGAGGTGAAGACAGGACTCTTCAAACAAGATTATCCTCTGTGAGGATTTGTGGTGGGATCTTGCCCAGGGACACTTACTGTGAGTGGTCTGACTGGGATTCGATCCTGGGATTCCTATTTCTAAAGCAGTGACTTTACCAGTGCTCATGATTCAATGTCTAATTGTTTCAGGTTATTGTAATTACTGATTGCCTATTTAACCATTGCCCACGGCTTGGCTATTTGCTCATTTATTGAGTTGTTCTGGCTTGCTTTGCTATGTGTATTAACCTTGATAGCTTTGCAACCTCAGTTCATGTGGTCCCAAAGTGACCCATGCATGAACTTGTTCACCCATGGCTATCGGTTTGTGTTCCTGACTACTCTCTTCGATTGTCCTTGTGCTTCATTGTAGACTGCTGATCTGGCTGTCATTCCTGACTACTCTCTTAGATCAACGTTTCATGCCTTCTGCCCTCCTACATTCTGACCTCTTCCTACACTACCTGCCTTCTCTCTCTGGTTGTCAAATCTGATGCCACTCCATTTTAATCCACTCTGTTAGTTGCCTTGTATCCATTCACTCTGCTGAAAACATTGACCAAGTATTTCTGTTGCTTTTTCTGGTCGACCTAAATGGCTCATTCCTCATTGGATTAACTAAACTGCTGAACCGACCCAAAGTGACCTCTTCACACATTGCATTACTGGCTAAGTAATTTCTAAACAGTTGCCAAGCCATCACTATTAGTGGAAGGAGATTCTACTTCTCTGTGCAAATTACCCAATTGTTTCAAGAGGTCATACTACCATATATAATATAAATATCAGCCATTACTGTTTAGTTTTATTTACTATTAGTGTTACCGTGTTGTGCATGGGTTCAAGTGTCACAGTCTATGCCAAGAGTAATCAAATTAAGTCATTTCATTTACTGCTTAAACGTTAGTCTCTTCCAGGTATTGCACAATATTG